TACATAGTCCTATTACAAATTTTTGAAAATAAAATGTGATTGTCAATTGTGTGTTCACCTTATACAATAGAGTTCGTATTTATTAGACAAAATAAGGTATACGCATTATGTATCTCTTGGACATCTGGCACAACACTACAAAATGCGTTGTTTTTGCGAGTATAACTTTACTAATATTTTTTGAGTGTGAGAACAATCCAAAATGTTACCTTTTCGCTAGGCGCTATCTAACACTAGTGGTTAGAAAAAGTAATTGATTAATGAAAACATATTTAAAGTAGGTAAGTCAAAAACAGTTAATTTTCACAATTTAATTTGCCAATTCAAAAGATAAACTAAGTTACTAACCATTATAAAATAACTGCAAGTAAATAATAATTTTTATTGGAAATAAATGTAAGTAAATCATATTCGTATTAATTCCAAAACGAGTTCATACTCCATGCGATATTTTCCCGTTAGAAACCCGACGAACAAAAACCGAAATTGTAGTTTTGTACACTGAGTTCAGTAGTTAGTCCTTGGTTCCCAAAAATAATCAGCTGGTGTCAAGGTCATCAGCTGTTATTGTTTGACGTTTGTATCAACGCTGTAAATCTGCATACGTGTGTGACAATGCTAAAACACCACGATTGTGTAGATAGTATGATACAATGGTTGCTATAGATGTTGCATTGGTGGTGTTTCGATTTCATTAATTGTTTCAACCAAACTTAAAAATAAACAGTCGAGTATCATGCAAATTGAAAAAATAAAAAACACTAAAAAATCCATCCTAGAATACAAGAGGAGCAATTGATCGACATTGATGCATTTACACACTCCCACCTTGCACTGCAAACCAAAGCAAGATTGAGATTTAATTATAGTATCAGAGGTCTACATGTATTATTTAAAGTTATACAATACTTTACTTTGAAATGGCGATCATGCGAATTTAGGTATTTTAAGCCGAGTATGGTTGGATATGAGTGTAGGATGAGTGTTGCGATCTTGTGGTCTTTAGTGACTAAGGCCGACATATACCAGACACAGTTGTTAATTAATAGCCCATACAGCCAATGGCAACTAAGTTACCTACAGTTACTGCAAACAAAATGATCTGGCCCTCAACCATACAAAAACTGTTCGAATTAATTTCAGCCGTAAAACAGAGCAAATAGCTGACCTAACAGATGTGAAAACTGTACAAAATTTCAAATTATTAGGAATTACACTAGATACTGGCCTTACCTGGAACAATCACATCGATGATCTTTGTAAGAAACTCAGCACTGGTGTATACGTGGTGAGAAGAATTAGATGGATTGGTGACTTATTATCAGCAAAAACAGCGTACCATGCTTTAATGGAGTCGCATATACAATATGGCCTTGTTGTCTGGGGCGGGACTACTGAAAACAACCTTAACAGAGTATTGAAGCTGCAGTAAAAAACCATACGTATACTTGCCAACCTTCAACCCTCAGGCAGCTGCAGGGAAGCTTTCAGATCGCTTGGTATTTTAACTGTTGTAAATCTTTACATCAAAGCAGTAGTCCTTCTGGTGAGTGAGTCTGATCTGCCAAAAAGTGCAAATTTTCACGCTTACAACACCAGGCGAGGAAACGACTTCATTCTGCCAGTACATCATACCACGCAGTACGCCAGAAAACCATCATACACTGGCCGCAAAGTCCACAATAGCCTACCACCATCACTGAAGTCACTTGAATCCGATCTGAACCATTAACTTGCAATAAATTTTTCATGATATTGTTAAGAAAAAAAAAAAAAGAAAAACTCTTTTAGCCTAGTTTTAAGTTCTATTATTGTATTTTTATTGACGCCATTGTATTATTCTTAATGAAACTACAAAATAAAGAATGATTTGATTTCATTTGATTTTTAGTAGAATCCGAACCACATTAGCATTGTAATTACGAATTGGTCTAATTATCATGATAGTACTGCGGATAGTCGTAGTACTCACTAGTGCGGGGTCGCATCCACAGTGCATCCCTAGAAATGTCCACAATTCGTGACCTAGTAGCTGATTACAGAACGAAGCCACCGTTTAAGTTCAATTCAATTCAATTCAATTATTTAAGATGGGGACGCCACTATGTGCGTATTTTAACCCAAATATGATTGAAGGATGAGTGTAGGATGAGTGGCGCGATCTTGTAGTCTTGTTAGTGACTAAGGCCGACATGTTTCTTAGACACAGCTGTTAATTAATAGCCCATACAGCTAATGGCAACTAAGGGACCTACAGTTTATAGTGGAATCCGAACCACATTTTTTCCTTGTAATTTACGAATTGGTCTAATTATCAGGATAGTACTGCGGATAGTCGTAGTACTCACTAGTGCGGACGTTAATCCACACCAGGGAGCATCGCATCCACAGTGCATCCCTATAAATATCCACAATTCGTGACCTCCTAGTAGTTGGATTGCAGGACGACGTTCACCTTATTGGGTTATTATACTAATGGATCATGATTATTTCAAAGTATTTTTATATTGGCAACGCTTTGGGTGTGTTTCTTACACGTATTTACACCGACTATGCTTATGACTGCTAAATAGAACAACATTTTAAACCTACAGTTTTGTATTTCAACACTATAACAAAAGAGAAAGGACTAAAAATCCTCAACAAAGAGTTTGGGATGTAGTTACTTTAGCTGTATAATTAAGTACACTTGTTATGGGTACAATGCAGTAATAAGTTACCGTACATGGAACACAAATATTCAGATTTTACAATAAGGTTTGAAGCTCCCTCACAGTATCAAAATCAATTGATTGATTGACTGGCTGAGCTGAGTGGTTATAGTGCTCGCCTCAATCAGATGATGCCGGATCGATCCAGGAAAAATCAGTAGCTTTTTGACGGTTTGAAACTAAACCCAGCTGTCCCTGATCATTGGTTTTTAAAATGGCTAATAAAACAGCTGATCTTAATCAGTTACAAAGCTAAACCTAGCTAAACAGATTACCTCTCTTCATTCTACACTCATCGTTTACTCATATTTTGGTTAAAATACGCAAATATAGTAACAGTATCACAGCCTAATCCCTTTTCTTGTTACAATCCTACGAGTAATAGGGTTGCTTATACTGCTAATCCACTTCCAATTGTTTACGTATTCGAATTTTAAGTGACAAAAGCAGCCAACGTAAGCCGCAGGTCGTCGCTAGAAATGGAGGGCTGCTGAGTAAACGAAGTATGACTGTAAGAAAAAACGAACAAATTGTTTTTAATTTCCAACAGATAGAATCTACAGGAATTAGCATGTTAATAGACCGGGAGATGAGGGTGCAAACAAGCTTCGGGCGCCTCGTGCTGGAATCTATATGACGGAAATTAACATTTGCGAACGTTTTATTTTGTCACAGTTAACTTCCAAACCAAGGCGGATTGTTTACAATTATCCTACCATTTAAAAATGGAATTACTTAGTTTTCATTTTCTTTATTTGTTAGTTATATTCTACAGGGTGTTACGTAAACTCTTTGCCAACCTTTTATGGTATTATTTTAGGGTTGATCAATATAAATATCTCATTTAAATCGTCAACTGTTTACTCACAGAGCCGTACTTTTGTATTTTTTTAACAGGACATTTTTATTCATAACTATGGCACTTAAAACTTTAAAAATTTGCATGAATAAAACGTTAATCTTAAAAACAAAGTATAATTTTATTGGAAATAATAATACAAACGTAATGACACCTCAAATTTGAAAATCTAATAAAACATAATAGAAATATGAAATTTTTTGTGGTGAGCCTCTATTAAGTGTAGGTCAATTAATATACTTGTACGCTGGCTATATAATTTGCAAAAAATTGACAATAAACGAACCAATATGATCGTTTCATGATAAAATGCGAATTGGTTTTCTCATTGAAACATGGAAGGTTTTTGAAGGAGACTATGATGACATATGGTTGCATAGTATTGATTTTTTGCTTTAAGTATGAATAGAAGGGTGAATGTTAGTTGTAAGAAATTTGTTTATGGCCACAGTTTTTTTTTCACATTAAAAAAATTAATCACCAATAATAATGCAATAACAATGTACCATATATAATACCAATACAATCAATCACTTTTTACTCAACAATATTTAATGATAATATTATTTTTTCACACGATACTCACATTCAGAGTTGAAGCATTATTTCCAGCCAGACATGGAGTGCAGTTACAAATCTAGCTGAGAGCTGTTTGCACATGCCTCTTAACATGCTCGGCGTACAAAAGCCCCTTTCCGATTGTTTTCGAGCCCCCCCCCCCTCCTTCCACATCAACCCCCCCAATCGGTGATTTTCCTTGCGTTTCACTCAAGAGAAACTGATTGACATCTGGTGGAGTTTTCTTACATGGCAGAGTAATCGTATTTTACATATGTGTACAAGTATTTTTAAAAGACCAATTAGATAAATTTATGATTTTTCTCACAAGTTCTCGATTTTAAATTTAGCAGTGGTCGTATGTCTAGTGGAATATCGCATAATGTCTTTAAAATTATCTTTGAAGAAGTTTGTAAATTATGTAACAAAGCAACAACGCAAATGAGGATAAAAAATTTTACGTTTAAACCTAACCTAACCGTTTATGAGATTTTATTTGTTTACAATCAGATGTGTTTAAGTTTAAACGCTTGTCTAACAATGTTTAATTGGTTGATAAACGATTCCTATACATAATTTAGTTAGATAATCTTAAGAATTTCAACACAGAGATTAAATTAGTAACTCGAAAGGGACTAATAACATACAGGTTAACCAAGATTAATGAATGCTTCTAGCTTATCTGTAAGAAACAAAAAGAGTTACATCCTTAGTAAATACAAACCGGGTTAAAAATACTTGTTTTTAGAGAAAATGTGCTTTCTATGTTAAACATTAACATTTTTCACTCCCTCAACTAGTTGAAGGGAGTCAATATAGCTTTATATTTGAAGTGGATTCTTGAGTGTTCACTGGTTCGATGTCTGTTTCAGATGTGAAATGTGGAGTTATCATTGGACGGCTCGTCCCCGACTCGAACACACTTAATGTGGAGACGCACAGGTCAGTACTACTCATTAATACTGACAGCATAATACTCATTAATACGAGTACTAATATTCGTACATTTACCGGGTGTCTCAAAATGAATAGCAGGGTTTTAACGCGTTATAACTTTTATATTATTAAACTTACCGATATAAAATACTCATAAAATTAAAAAACAACTCAAAAAGTGTATACCTTCCAAAGACACGATATTTAACAAATCGATCCAGTAGAACTGTAGATTTAATTTTACAAAGTTAAAAAGTAATCTCCAACTTTTTTCATCACTAGAAATTCGGGGGTTGCTTTTCGTTTTTGCAAATAACTTTTAAATGGTGAGGAAATCGACCAAAGTGGAAGGTAATATTCCGAAAGAGAATACAATTTCCTACAGTAGGCTACAATGTAATATTATGCATTTCTTGAAAATCTATATAAATAAAATTAGAGTTTTGTCTGTACATTGCTTAGAATCATGCAGTTTTGGTTATTTTTACGTTTTATAGCCTAAGAAAGCCGAAACGAGTCTTATCTCAATTTCTGTCTGTATGTCTGTTTGTCTGTTTGTCTGTTTGTCCATTCTGTGACTCCGTCTGTAACACCAAAAATGTCATTTTACGCGGCCTTCTCCTAGAAAACTAGATTACCGATCAAGGTTCTAATCATTTTTCTGTATTTACGGGATTGGTGAGAGTGTCTTCGGCCATAAAACATAGCCTCGCTTCTTTGAAACCAAATAACGAACCATAAAAAACCCAATTTCTTTAGATTTTTGTCAAATTTTCTCCTAATGTTAGCGAATTTCCCTATAGGGAAGTAGCTATTACCGTAGGTCTCATGGTAAGACCTAGGCCCGGGACCGATTTACTTTTTCATTTTGATGTCCCCAGAGGCCAAAAACACCATTCGTTCAAATTTTTATATATCTATGTATATATATATTTTTTGTTTTTCCCATTTTTGACCAAAAAAAAAAATAAAATTTTGCAAAATCTTTTCAAACCATTTTGTAGAGCTTAAAAAAACAAATAATTTAGTATATTGTAGTGTTACTATGCGCCTAATGGTTATGGAGAAAATTCCAAAAAAATGTAAATTTTAAATTCCCATGTTATTCTTATGGAGAATGAGTAAACTGTTGTAGTTTGCTTGTTTATGAACATATTTTGATCAAATTTGGAAAATGTTTTTATTTCTTACTAACTATTAACATTTTACAAAAAAAAGTTTTACCCTCCCTGATGCAGCAAACCTAAGTACCTGTTAAAATAATTCTATTTAAATAGGAAATAAATGTTAAATTTTTAAGTAGACATTTTAGTGTAAATCCAATCAGACATATGGAAATTCGCTTAGTCTGCAGGTTTGCTGCGGCGGGGGTATTTACTATTACATTTTATGAAATAACGATCAGCTGTTTGGATTAGTTCTCACTTCTAGCTGTCACTGATATCTTTACATTAAAAGTTGTTTACAAATACCGCAACCATTTTCGATCAAGTTTTGTTGGCACATCCAAACCAATTGAGATTAAAAACGTTGTGCCTTACTTAACCGGTTTAATTAATCGCAAGTGCAACGATTGTTCTTGAGTTTTGATAACCGGGAAAAATGCCGTGAATCAGTGTTGTATTAGTGCTAGGAAACTTACCTACATTTTTTTAATCATCGTCACCAATACTGTAGCTTACAAAAAGGTTTTCACTTATTGACGACGTTTCAAGGACAGTTGTGTAAAGTGCAAAGTAAAACATCACAAATGCAATGGGTGATCGTGGATGTTGCTGAAATCTTGGAAGATATATCTGATTTCGCTGTGATCGTAACAGAAGTTTAACTTACAGATGTAGCTAAACTCGCTTTTCCAATGTGGTGTTCACTTTTGGTTTCTACTTACATTTCGACAACGATAACGGTACTTTTCCTATCTAGGAAGTAAAACTAAAAACGTCCAAAACCCCAGATTTGTGCGTTTTTGTAACATTTCCTCCGAATGTTTGCTAGATATATGTACCGATTATCGTTTAGAGATTACCGGTACGTAATCTTTTGAATAAGAAACCTTTGTTTGGATAAAGGTGGTTTCTTCAAACTGTCATTAATATGTTAACATTAAAAGTTGCTTACAAATAATGCTATTAATGGGAAATAACTTTGATTTTCGAAAACTTAAAAAGAAAATTAAAACCAAGGGAGATAACGTTACATGTTACATGTTTTGTGGTCTGTGTATTTATTTATTTATATATTTGTCAACGGATTAACTCCTATAATACAATTTGATTAGAAGGACAGTTTGAATTGGTCGTAAGTACTATAGTTATTTTCTTAAATGTAAACGTTGGTTTTTGGTACTGCTACTTTTCCTTAGAACCGGTGGTAGCAGTAAGAATCATTTTTACGTACAAGCACATTACTATTTACAACTAGCCATTTGATGACACTATAAAAACTTTCAAATAATTGTTTTGTTTGCAGTGTTAAAGCGTAGGAAATCCCCTAATTCAATTCTGTATTTGTGTGTGTATGCTGTCTGTTGATAACGCATTAATGTCCTTCCTCCTTATTTCTCAGTGTTTCGTGGAAAAGACAATATGTTTTAAGCATTAACATTAAGCACCTTTGTTCAACCCGAATAAAGTGTGCAGTAGTATTTGAGGTAGTTGAGGTAGTATTTTAACTACTTTTAACCAGTGTGAAAAGTAACTTTCAATTACAGGCCTACCTTAGTGCTATGCCTCATAGATCTAAAAAGCAATTCCTTTTATCATTAGATATAAAATATGGACTAACACGATCGGGTGACATAAAATTGTGAAGCATTCGTTTTGGCTTTGATACTGTCAGATATTGTATTTTCGAAGGTTTATATGTATTCCTATACAGTAATAGTTTTGCCAGCATATTAGGAAATATTCATATGCAAACCAACTCCTGTTCTGAAAATAAGAAGGTTTCAACTTACTACAAGATTCCCGTACGTAACGGGCAAACAGCTAGTAGGTACTCAATAAAACACAAAATAAAACACAGCCTAAATTTGCCAGAAAATAACAAAATAATAATCCCCGTTTTTATGTTTAGTTTTGTGTATTGTCTACCCTACATTAAAAATGGAAATTTTCACATATTTTTATTTTTAGACAATTGTCGGCTACCTTTAATGAATATTTTCAAGAAATACTCCTTAAACCTCATTGGTCCGTTACCCGTGTTGTTATGAAAAACTCTGCTGTAATGTAAGTAATAATAGTAAACAATGCTGTTATGAGAAACTTTTCAATTCTAAGAACTGAACTGAAACGGCTACTTTAAGAAACGGTCGTAGGTAAAACCTACGAAATCATATATGATTTGGATACAGAAACTACACATCATAATATCAGTTTTAACGTTTATATTTGTTTAGTAGCAGAAAACTAGGTAGGCCTATTTTCAATCCAACTAGGCGCTATACCGTACATTGTTTTATGTTTGTCTTGACCCAAATAACAAAAGACAATTTCTGCACAAAGTTAATCCAAAACGTCCTCATTCTGTAGTTTCTATAAGCATACCTTTTGATATAAAATATCCTAAATATTTTGAAACCTTAATTTGTTCCAGAATTGTGTTTTTTGGACTGTTGGCATTAAAAATGTATTTTTGACTCCGAAAACAATTTTCCACTCTTCATGTCACATAATTTTCGGAAAACCAAGAGCAATATTTTACAATACATTATCAACCAATTAAGTAATACAATATTTATATTGCACAATGCACAATTCTCTCTGAATTCATCACAGTCATACCCTTTTCATGTTTGGGAAATAAACTAAAAATTGATTCGTCTGTGGTTGTAGCATGCATGCATAGGGAAATAACAACTATTGATAAGGAGAATCAAGATTTATAATTCTAAGTATTAATCTCGCGCGGCTTTGTAGATGTAATCTTATACTTGGCCTTCAAGTGTTGCACACTATAGATTCAATTGTTATGGATTGATTTTACGATTAAATTGACGATGAAAAAACAGTGGTTCCATATAAAAACAAATTATGTTTTAGTAACAACTTACTCCGTATTGAATAAGTGTACAGTTTAGTCTATAAATTCCACCGGTGTCGACAAGGGAAAATTTGTGTTGAATTCAAAACATACTTTAAGTGCACTTTCCATTCTGTTTAAAAACATGAACCTTTTTTGAATATTTTTTTAATGACTGGAAACGGATCATTGCGTTTTGTTGACTATTTTTTTTTTAGGTAAATTATACAGAGTTCTCTTTTCCTATTTGTTATAATATCACACGACAAACCTTAGTTTACAATAGTTAATTTTAAAGCCAATGAAATGTAGGCTATTATTTTGTAAAATTTTTTTTACCGAATTCCCCAATAGGGAAGTGGCTTATAGGGCCCGGTAAGACCCAGACCCGGGACCAATTTATTTTTTATTTTTGATGTCCCCAGAGACAAAAAAACCATTCGTATAAATGTTTATTTATACATTTATCCCTGAACGCGATAACTCGAGTAATTTTGGTCAATTTGTATGAAATATGGCTTGAAGGTATAGGGCTTGGTATAAACTTGAATGCGTTCACGAACTAGCACTCTTGGTTTTCCAACGGTTCACCCGGAGACCAATTTTAATTATGTAGTCAGTTTTCAGTTACGCCGTTGACATTTTTTTTAGATTATAATTCCGCCAATCAACCTATTTTGACGTTTGAAATCCCCACGATAACGCATTTGAACCAGATTACACCGACAAGCAGAGCTCTTATCTCCTTATCACACACTTTTATACAGAATGTGGATAAAGTACTTGAACGTCTGTGTTCCGGATTAGCATTATCTTACTCGAACCTTAACCTACTTTAATCCCGTTGTTTATGATTGCAGTTCCCTCAACCCGATCGGGCTCTTTATAGCTTTATGTTATATTATATAAAAGTAAGAGTTAACACTGATATTATACTATAAAATAATTCAATACAAGCGTCTATGTCCGTTTCTCAACGGGAA